TGTTCGGGTCTTTCTCAGGCTCCCGGCCCAGCTCCAAGGCCCAAGGGGACCCAGCAGAAGTTCCAGGGGGACTGGTGAGAACCTATTGCCCAGACAGGGAAACTGAGGCTCGGGTCTGTGGCAGGCACAGGCCCAGGCAGCCATTCATGGAGGACCATCTTGAACCCCAGTATACAGATGGAGTATACATCTGTATACAGATGGAGCAAGCTGATGGTTCCAGGTGGAGGCCGATGGGGGACCCATTATACAGATGCAGAAAACTGAGGTTGGGGATGTCCCAGATCCATTCTCCACCTACTAGCACTGGGGACAGCAAACTCTTATCGCAAAGGACCAGACAGTGAGTATTTTAGGCTTTGCCAGCGTAGGGTCTCAGTCTACAACTACATACCCAACTCTGAGCTTTGGTGCAGCATTAGCCATAGGTGAGACATAAGTGATGGTCGTCACCATGGTCCAGTAAAACTGTACTTGCAAAAACAGATGTCGCCCAGGCTGTAGTCCGCAAACCCCTGTGCTAGTGTGGGCTCCCAGAGCAGGGCTCAGCTCACAGGGGTGCTCAATGAATGCAGGAGGAACCCAGCTCAGAGAATGGGGTTCGGGTCTTTCTCAGGCTCCCGGCCCAGCTAGGAAAGCAGGCACCAGGTGGGGGTTTGAGGGCTGCCTCTTCCAGCTCTCAGCAAAAGATAACAATGAGGACAGGGGCTCATTCCTATAAATGTACACACGGGCCTGGTTGAGGTCCACAGGTGAAGATGGGCTACCGGGATGGCAGGGGCTGGGGGGGTGTTCCTGCATGGACCCCACAGAGGCTGGGAAAGGTGAGGCCCAAAGAGGCAAGAAACCCAAATGCACTAGAATTAGGGAGAGGAGAGATGGGGGTGGGGGGGCCTCCCTCTCTTTCTTCCCCCTTTCCACAGACCCACTATGCTGATGGGGAAACTGAGCCAGAGAAGCAGGAGCCCAGCCATGGAGGTTCAGAGCTGGGGAGAGGGGCCCCTGGGAGCTAGTTCATTCTACCCTGTCCCCTGCAGACCCATTCCAGAGATGGAAGAACTGAGACCCAGAGAAGATCCGAGACCTGTTGAGAACTGTGACTTCAAACCCCAGCCCTCCACACACACTAATCACACCTAATTGGTGTCACAGGGTGACCACAACACCCAGATGAGGAACCAGGCTTTCGGGATGGGGGTGATCTCTCTTTTTGGCATACGAACCCCCTGATCCTCCTCCCAGCTTTCAAAGGGCTGTATTATTACGATACAATGATTGTTGTTATTCCTATTAGCACTGTTATAATGATTTTTATTTCTATTGACGTTATTCCTGTTACTATTATTTTGATTGCTTACAATCTTCCAGGAAGCAGGAAAAGGCTCAAGTCTCCGCTACCTATGTGCCGTTGTACGATGGGGAAACTAAGGCTCGGAGAGGGGTGGAGGCCCGGTCAGAGTCTCAGGGCCCATGCGAGGATAAGGACCAGGACTCTACCAAAACTAACAAGCAAACAAAAAAAGGCCTGGCCGGTTAGCTCAGTCGGTTACAGCACAGCCTCGTAACACCAAGGTCAAGGGTTCGGGTCCCCGCACCGGCCAGCCGCCAAAACAAAAACAAAAAAAGAACCAGGACCCTGACCCCCTCGAAGGCCATTGACCCCTTTCTCAGAACAGCCTGTTCTCCACGAGGCTGGGGGGTCTCAGGGAGAGACAGGAACAGCCCGTCTGGACTCCCAGCTTGTTTTCTGGATGGCTGTGGCTGGGCTCGGTCCCACACATGGACGCACACAGTCCCCCCCCCCGCTGCAGCACCCTCTGTGCCGTGGGGTGCTGTGGGGGGAGAGGGGACATCAGATTTCACCTATTACTGAGGCTCTGAAAATAGCCTCCCGCCTGGTGAGACCAGGGTGGGGCCAGCCCATCTCCCCCACAACAATGTCCCCCGAAGCGTGAGTCACCATAACAGCTGTGGCTGGGACTGGACCTCGGGGCCCTTTCCCGCTGTCCCTGCCTCCCCCAAGCTGACCTGCTGAGGCAGAGGGAGGGTGGACAGGACCCATCCCAGTCCCCGTGCAACCCTCACGTTGCTTTTCCTGCGCCTGGATGCCAATTGACATTTGAGACCCAGAGACAGGGAGCAATTTGCCCAGGGCCACACAGCCAGTCAGCAGAGCCGGGACCAGAGCCCAGGTCATCTGGCTGGAGAAGCCGGGGGCGGGGCAGTGGAACAGGGGTACTGGTCACTGTCCACAGAGGGGGTGCCAGGAGGGCAGGATGCCAGGACAACCCTGTCGATGTGGGGCTGTGGCTGCCACCCAAGCTCTGGCGCTTGTCGGGGCTGCAGTTAGAGGTTGCTAGAAGGGGCAGCTGGGGTGTCAGGATAACCAGCCTCTCCTCCCCCCTCGAAGCCCTTCCCCCTCTGTGGACCCTGCCCCCCCACTTTGGGCCTTCTCTGGGAAAAGGTACCAGGGACACGGGCAGGGGCGGGATTCCACGTCACTGGTGACCCCAGCTGGTCCTGGAGGCAGAAAGACAAACAGCCCGTAACTGGGTCATGGACCTGCTGCCCCGTCCTCCCTCATCCTCCCCGGGAAGTCAGACAATGTGAGAGGCAGAGACCGTCACTCTCTGTCCCACAAGACCTGTGATACCCAGGGCCTCTTCCCCAGGCACCTCCCAATGCCCTCTCAGGCTGAACAGGCAAAGGAGAAAGCCAAGGCATGCTACATGCTGCGAATCCTACCGAACTCCTACACATCCCTCAATGCCCTGTCTCCAGTGTCCACCTCCTGCAGGCAGTCTTGCAGCTCTCCTCAATGTTCCCCCAGACCTAGCCTGTACCACACAGGCTGGTGGTGTCCAAATCCAGCTCTACCACCCCCCTCTCCAACCCTGAGGCCTAGGGCTAAGACACCCATTGCCAGGGAAAGAGACCAGGTTACATCAGTCCCGGGAACAAATCACTGCTCCACTCGAGGCTTCAGTTTCTCATTCTATACAATGGGCAGACAGGGACATTGCAGCCTGATGGAGACTGGGGGGGCTTGTCCCTTGCCATGGTAACCAGAGATGCAAGGTGGTAGGGGAGGTGGTGGTTGGAGGCAAGGCTAGGCCTTTCCCAGAAACCCCAGCAGCGGCTAGGAGGTAGACACCTGGGTCCTAGCCCTTGCCAGACAACTGCACTGGGCTGTGGCCCTCTCGGCCTGTGTTTGCCCCCGCCCCCAGCACTCCATGCCAGCAAGCTAGCATATGAAACTCCAGTTTCCAAAACAAAAGTCTTTCAGGTAAAAGTGATTCAAAAATCTATCAATGACAATCTATCCCATCCACCTCCTAAACTCTTATCCCAAATTTCTATGCATCCTTCAAAGCCCTGGTTCCAATGTCCTCTTCTCTGGGTTAGGTGACTTGCCCCAGGTTACATGGCTTGCCAGTGGCAGAGCTCATGTTAGACCCCAGGCCCATCTGGTACAGAGTCAGTGTTCCTAACCTTGGGGAACTCCTTCCCTGAAGCTCAGAGCATCACAGCTTATGAGGGAAGGATTTGTTCAGCTGTTCAACAAACATTTACTGAGTGCCTGCCCAATGCATGTTGCCGGGGACTTGGTAGTGACCTGGGCTCCATCCTCACCTGGATCCTGATCTGGGGACAGGGATGTTTGTTAAACAAGTCAACAAATATGTAATAAAATGTCAGGTTCAGCAAAGTGCCTTGAAGAATTTAAAGATGTTTGAGGGGGCAGGCAATCCCTGGGGGTTGTTTAGCTGGGGGTGGTCCAGGAAGGTCTATTGCAGGAAGAGACACGTGAATGAAGACCTAAAGATGACAATCTGGGTAGGAGCTTTCTAGGTGGCTAAAAACAGCACATGCAAAGGCCCTGAGGCAGGACTGTGTCCTGGCTGGAGTTGAGTGACCAAGAGGGAGAGAGAAGGGGGAGGAGGTGAGACCAGAGAGGTGACAGGGACTGGTTACACAGGGCCTTGGGGGCTGCAGTGAAGAATTTGGGTAAACTGAGTCCAGAGAGTGGAAAGCCCCTGGCAAAGTGACCAGTGAGTCAGCAGAGTGAGCCCTGGGTCTGCCGACTTCCCTCTCTGTGCCTCAGTGTCCTGGCAGGATTATTAGGGCTGAGCCAGAGGGCCTAGGGGGTGGTGAGGTTGTGCCTTTTAGAAGCTGAGTGTTTACTGAGCTATCAGCTCAATGAAATAGGAACGATCATTTGTGCCTACTGTCCGGAGGAAAAGACCAAGGCACCGAGCTCTGAAGTCATCTGCCCAAAGCCACACAGCCAGGAAGGAGGCGAGCTGGGACTTGAGCTGGGTCCCTCTGTCCCTGGATCTCCTGACC